GAAGTTGCTGTGGCTGATATTGAAGAAGTTACTGCCTATGTTCTCCTCTAGGCTTCTGATGGATTCCTGTCTCACGTTGAGGTCTTTTACCCATTTTGAGTTTATCTTTGTGTACGGTGTAAGAGAATGGTCGAGTTTCATTCTTCTACATATAGCTGCCCAGTTTTCCCAGCACCATTTATTGAAGAGACTGTCTTTTTTCCAAGATACAGATGTAGTGAAAAGAAGGGCCATCTGTACCCCAATGTTTATAACAGCAATGGCCATGGTTGCCAAACTGTGGAAAGAACCAAGATGCCCTTCAATGTACAAATGGATAAGGAAGATGTGGTCCATATACACTATGGAGTATTATGCCTCCATCAGAAAGGATGAATACCCAACTTTTGTAGCAACATGGACGGGACTGGAAGAGATTATGCTGAGTGAAATAAGTAAGCAGAGAGAGTCAATTATCATATGGTTTCACTTATTTGTGGAGCATAACAAATAGCATGGAAGACATGGGGAGTTAGGGGAAGGGAGTTGGGGGAAATTGGAAGGGGAGGTGAACAATGAGAGACTATGGACTCTGAAAAACAATCTGAAGGGTTTGAAGAGGTGGGGGGTGGGAGGTTGGGGGAACCAGGTGGTGGGTATTAGAGAGGGCACGGATTGCATGGAGCACTGGGTGTGGTACAAAAACAATGAATACTGTTATGCTGAAAATAAATTTTAAAAATGATAAAAAAAAAAGGAAAGTTTAAAGGTTAAAACTTTAGCAGAAGGAAAAAAATAAAATTAACAAATGAATTAATTTTGTAAGCCTAAAGCATCACGGGGAGTAAGCCATGCATTCCATCCTTTGCTTTCTTCTCCTCTGGAATTCTGTTGTTTTTCTTGGTAAGTGAACTTGGTCTTGGCTGGATTTCTTGTTGATCTTGGGGAGGGGCCTCTCATAGTGACTCTCAAGTTTCTTTGCCTGAGGCAGAATTGCATCACCCTTACCAGGGGCCAGGCTAATAATCTGCTTGGGTACATTTTCTGGAGCTTTTGTTCCCTGAACGCTTTCTGTAGGGTCCTAGAGGATGGGAATGAAAATGGCGGCCTCCCAATCTCCAGCCCAGAGGAGCCTAGAGCTCAGGGCCCCACTCCTCAGTGCGCCCTCAGAAAAAAGCACTCAGTCACTCCCATCTCCCTGGCCTCCAGTTGCATTCCGAACTCACCCAGGCTGTGACCAAGCGTCTCTGTCTCTGGCACACAGCTCCGCCTGGAGTCTCAGAACCCTGCAGATCCCAGAGCTGTTCCAGGGGGTTCTCCCCGGATCTTGTGGGTCCCCACTCACAGAGCTGTGGCCTGTGCCATGGATTATGGTTCAAGGTAACCCCGAGTTGAGAGCTCACTCCTCGGCTCTGTCTCTGTAGCCGGCTTCTCTGCTCTAATACCTGCGAGCTCTGCAGCCCTCTGACACCCCCAATCCTGTGACCCTGCGGGACCTGAGGTCACACTGTCCCCACATGGGCTTCACCCCCATTTAGCCTCTGGAGCAATGTCCCTCAGGGGTGCAGACTTTTAAAAGTTCTGATTTTGTGCTCCATTGCTCCGCCACTTACTGGGACCAGCCACTCCCTCCATGGGCTATCTTCCCATCGCTTTGGATTCACTTCTCCACAGGTTCTACCTTTCAGAAAGTGGTTGATTTTCTGTTTCTAGAATTGTTGCTCTTCTTCTCTTCAGTCTCCTTTGGATTTGTAAGTGTTCAGAATGGTTTGATAAGCTATCTAGCTGATCCCCTGCTACCTGATGTCATCTCAGCCTGCTACTTCTCCACCATCTTGACTCCTCCCCTGAACCAGGAGATTTTAAAGAATGGCTCAGGGTACCTGGATGGCTCAGTTGTTAAGTGCCTGCCTTTAGCTCAGGTCATGATCCCAGGGTCCTGGGATTGAGGCCCACATTGGGCTCCCTCCTCAGCGGGTAGCCTGCTTCTCACTCTCCCACTACCCTTTCTTGTGTTCCCTCTCTCTCTGTCTGTCAAATAAATTAATAAAATTTAAAAAAAAGAAAAGAAAAGAATGGATCTATACTTCTTTGTCAGGTATCTATCAACTTAGATAACCTCCTACCCTCTGAGATTGGAAATAGTCATCCAATGAACAGAAGCTAAATGAACCAGCCATTGTGTCCTGGAATTACATGCTCTAGTAGTAAATGAAATTGTGAAAGTAAAGTGACTTTAATAATCTAACTCATGAAAACTGATTTGAACATTTACAATAATAAGTATAATGAAATGGAAGAATCTCGTTAATTCCTGGAAGAGGTAGGAACATGTATTTGAGATAAAATGAGCAGTAGACAACACTCTCCAGATTACTGGTGGGTATCAATAGCAGGGTTCACGTTGGGCTTGCTGCCAGATTTGAGGTGTTTTGAAATCTATTTGGAGAAGGTGCCAGATAGACCATTTATAGGACTCTTAATTAAAGTACAGCATTGTTGAGATCTTTCGGAGAAAAAAATAGAGACAACATTCTAAACCAAGAGGAAAAGGGAAAGGCTTCTTTAAAAAGAATTGACAATATATTTTTTAAGGAGAGATTTGTCACACATGTGGACAGATAAACTAAAATAATATAATCCAGAGCTTGGATAAAGACCAATTCGAAAGACAATTTCTTAAACAGATAAAGGAAAAAGCCACACCTCACATCCTGCTCAGGTGAGGGTGACCTGGTTGCTTAATGGTAATTTCTGTGGCTTCTACAACCCTTTGGTTAACTTGACCCTTAAGAGATCTTTCCACAGGTGGCAATCAAGTCAAGAAGTAGGCTAAATCCTGGATCCAAGTTTCACCTAGTCCTAGAGGATTCTGTACTTTGTCCACTCAGATCCCTATTTACCTTGGTTCTTGGTTTTCCTTTTGCTTTGCAGGTCACTCTTTATTCTCCTGTCTATTCTACTTTTTCTCTTTGACTACTAAGGTCGTATGCCGTAGGTCCTCTTTTCCTCTGTTAATACACACTGCTACAGTAAATACATCCAATCCCATAGCTTTATATGTTACCTAACTGCCTAACTATCCAACCTGACACAGAATTTTGCTAGTTCAAAGTTCTATGTACTAAAATATAGCTTTATTTGGTGTGTAAATTCCTATAGATGAATTTAATTTTTGTTTATTTTTTAAATTTAATTTTTGTTAATTAAATTTCAATTCCACCTTCAGTCATTGAAAAATAAATTGACTCATAGGACACCTAAGTGACCCATTTGGATAAGAATCCAACTCTTGATTACAGGTCAGGTCGTGATCTCAGGTCATAAGATTAAGCCCCACATACTCCCCACTAGTGTTGGAGCCTGTTTAAGATTCTCTGTCTCTCATTCACCCAGCGTTCTCCCTAATCCCCACTCATTCTCACTCTATCACACATTTTCTTTCTCTCTCTTTCTAACACAAACATGTGCATGAAAAAAAAAAAGAAAGAAAGAATGAAAAGAAAGAAAGAAAGATTGATTTGACTATTGGGAAAATTATGACAAAGTTGTCACCATACTTCATCACCTGTAACTTTTAGTAATAAAGATCCTCCAATGGGGCTCCTGGGTGGCTCAGTGGGCTAAAGCCTCTGCCTTCAGCTCAGGTCATGATCCCAGGGTCCTGGGATCGAGCTACACATCAGGTTCTCTGCTCAGCAGGAACCTGCTTTCTCCTCTCTCTGCCTGCTTCTCTGCCTACTTGTGATCTCTGTCAAATAAATAAATAAAATCTTTAAAAAAAATCCTCCAAGAAAACGCAAAATACATACTTGACAGAGAAACGTGTAAAGATTCTCTGAATATGATAATTTGTGTTAAAGGTTCACAATACTTTTCTGTTTGTAAAACAGTTGTGTATCTCTCAACCACACACCTTCTTTGAATCTGTTGAAAATCTGTTAACTCTAAAATTTGACCTTCCCAATGCTGGAAAACTGCACTTCTAAGAATCCCTTTGCTACTTTGATTTTTGAACTACTACACTTGCTTCCATAAAGTCTAATTCCTGGGGAATATTACACACAATATTTAACTACTAAAAACGACAGAAGTTGTCAAGGTTTCTAAAAATTAGAAGTAGTGGAAATTCAAGTAAGAATAAAAGACTGCTGGTTTCCTTCTGTCATCTGATAGTCATGTCCTGCCTGGGAGGCTGGAATACAAAAAAGGATAAGTTGAGGCTCAGCACTGGAAAAGTACTAAAAAATTAGAATTTCACCCAGGGCATAGTAGTGAGGTAATACCAAAATAAAGGAATGAGAGGCTGTCTGAAGGACACCAAGAGCTCAGTGAGGGAGGTGCTAAAATGATTATGAATGAGACACAAAAATTAAAAATTGGCAACAGCAAATAAGAAACTAATAGGAAACTCTAGGAACTGTTGTAAGTCAGTTTGACTATGGCAGGGTAGAGAATCTTGTCAGTTTAGGAATTATTTTAAAGAACCAATTGTTGCTTTCCATTTCTGTGGTGGAGCTACTCAGGGATACCAATAGGCACTGAATAATTTCTTGAGTCTTAAAAAGTGATTTGTTGAAGGGAGGAAAAATGCCTGTTAAGACGCATGTGGCTCAGGGCACCTGGGTGCCTCAGTGGATTAAACTTCTGCCTTCAGCTCAGGTCATGATCTTGGGGTCCTGGGATTGAGCCCCACATTAGGCTCTCTGCTCAGCAGGGAGCCTACTTCCCCCCCGCCGCCTGCCTCTCTGACTACTTGGGATCTCTCTCTCCCTGTGTCAAATAAATAAATAAAATCTTTTTTTTAAGATTTTATTTATTTATTTTGACAGAGAGAGATCACAAGTAGATGGAGAGGCAGGCGGGGGGGGGGGGAGCAGGCTCCCTGCTGAGCAGAGAGCCCCATGCGGGACTTAATCCCAGTACCCTGAGATCATGACCTGAGCCGAATGCAGTGGCTTAACCCACTGAGCCACCCAGGCGCCCCAATAAATAAAATCTTAAAAAAAAAATAAAAAAAGGAACATTTCTTTGGTGTTGTGGGGATCATCCTTCTCATTGTTATGGCCTATGACTGCTACGTGGCCATCTGTAAGCCCCTGCACTACACAATTATTATGAGCCCTCAGGTATGCTGCCTGTTGCTGGGAGGGACCTGGGTGGGAGGGTTTATCCATGCGATAATACAGCTTCTCTTCATGTATCAAATACCCTTCTGTGGCCCTAATGTCACTGACCACTTTATATGTGATTTGTTTCCCTTGTTGAAACTGGCCTGCATGGACACCCACACCCTGGGTCTCTTAGTCATCTTCAACAGTGGGGTGATGTGTGTGACCATCTTCCTTATCCTCATCGCCTCCTACGTGGTCATCCTCTGCTCCCTGAGGTCTTGCAACTCTGAAGGGCGGCGCAAAGCCCTCTCCACCTGTGGTTCCCATCTCACTGTGGTCATCTTGTTCTTTGTACCATGCATTTTCCTGTATGTGTGGCCTGTGGCCACTTACCCCATAGACAAAGCAATGGCTGTGTCTGATTCCATCATCACACCCATGTTGAATCCCTTGATCTATACCCTGAGGAATGCTGAGGTGAAAAATGCCATGAGGAAACTGGGGAAATGAAGGACTTTTGTAAGCAAGTGACCTCATTATTTTCATTGTAAAAATGATCAAATGTATAATTACTTTTACATCTTTATCATTTGACTTTTGCTACTTGCCATCTCTCTAATATACCAAACATCTTGACAGAAAGACTTTTGTCTATTTATGATTGGCATCTATTAAGTTTCCATAAAGTTCTGTTAAATGATTATAGAATGCAAGAAACTTGTCCCTGGAGATAGCCTAATTTAGATGGTTGGATGAAAAAAGGAGACAGTAATAAATATTAAAAAACCAACTACCATGAAAAGATGCTGAATTTTGTTAAATGCTTTCTCTGCATCAATTGAGAGGATCATATCATTATTGTCCATTCTTTTATTAATGTGATGTATCACATTGATTGAGTCATGGATGTTGAGTCACCCTGCAGCACAAGAGTAAACCCTACTTGGTCCTGGTGAATAATCCTTTTAACATACCATTCAATCCTATTGGCTAGTATCCTGTGGAGAATTTCAGCATCCATTCTCTGAAGGCAAGGGAAATAAAGGGGAAAATGAACTATTCTGACTTCATCAAGATAAAAGCTTCTCCACAGCAAAGGAATCAACAAAACTAAAAAGCAACCTACAGAATGGGAGAAGATATTTGTAAATGTCTTATCAGATAAAAGGCTAGTAGCCAAAATCTATAAAGAACTTCTCAAACTCAACACCCAAAAACAAGCAATCCAGTCAAGAGATGGGCAGAGATATGAACCGACATTTCTACAGAGAAGACATACAAATGGCCAACAGACACATAAAAAATGCTCCATCACTTAGCATCAGGGAAATGCAACTCAAAAACACAATGAGATACCACCTCACACCACTCATAATGGCTTAAAATAACAATTCAAGAAACAACAAATGTTGGTAAGGATGCAGAGATAGGGCAACCCTCTTACACTGTTGGTGGGATGGAAGCTGATGCAGCCACTCTGGAAAATAGTTTGGAGGTTCCTCAAGAAGTTAAAAATAGAGCTACCCTATGACCCAAATATTGTGTTACTAGGTATTTTCACCAAAGTTACAAACGTAGTGATCCAAAGCAGCACCTGACCCCAATATTTATAGCTGCAATGTCCACAATAGCCAAACTATGAAAAGACCTGAGGCATCAATCAACAGATGAATGGATAAAGAAGGTGTGGTATATATAAATAATGGAATATTACTAAGCCATCAAAAAGATAGAATCTTACCATTTATATCAACTTAGATGGAATTGGAGGGTATTAGGCTGAGTGAAACAAGTCAGTCAGAGAAAAACAATTATCATATGGTTTCATTCATAAGACGAATGTAAAAACCATCACAGAGGACCATAGGGGAAGAGAGAGAAAATGGAATGGGAAGAAATCAGAGAGGGAGACAAATCCTGAAAGACTCTTAACTACGGGGAAGAAACTGAGGGTTGCTGGAGGTGAGGTGGGGGTAGGAATGGGATAAATGGATGATGGCATTAAGGAGGGCATGTGATGTGATGAGCACTGGGAGTTACAGACAAATGATGAATTACTGAACTCTACATCTGAAACAAGTGATGTAATATATGTGGGCTAATTGAATTTAAATAAAAACTAAATAAACAAAAGGCAGAGAGCAATCATTAGAACAGCATCGGTGGAAGTGGAGGGCTCTGATTATTTTATGGAGGGTACTTCATGTTGGATAGGCAGAAGAAGATTCTATTATCAGGTACCACTTCAGCTGATTTTGAATTCTGTTGAGATTACCTGAGGAAAAGTGCTGAAACATAGTAATCAATATATTTAATGATGATGAGCACCAATAAAAAACCAAATGTGATCAGGAGGAAACAGCCGTATGAGGATTAGTGGAGTCTATATTCTGGAAAGGGACACTCTAAAGCAGGACTACTGTGGTATTTTCAAGGAACTGTGGAAGACCGGGAACATAATGGTCCAAGAAGAGAGTGGCAAGAAGCAAGATCAGAAATGCACACAGTGTCGGCTTATGTAGTGCCAAGACCACCAACACTCCCTGAAACCACAAAGAGCGTGAATGTTGTTATTGTCTCTTAAAAATGACCAAGCCTCAAGGAGTCTTCATAAATGCTGACTGACACTAACTTTTGTGTATAAGGGAGTTGGGGGAATAGGGGAAAAGCGTTTGCAGCTAGCTTCTATTTGTCCTTTAATTTTTGATTGTAGAAGGAAATTTACAACAGCATTGGAAAATATTTCACAGTAAAATACTTCTTTTTATATTTTAAATTTTTTTTTCCATGTATCAATACAGAAGAAAAAATTAATAACAGTATGATGACTTGGGTTTTTTGACAACCCTTGGGACAATCTTTATTTTATCACATAATATAAACACTGGATTCCTGAACTGGGAAGGACCTCAAAATGAGGTCCATGTCTTTATATCTGTGTAATATGTAAGATTTTAGAACTTGATAAAAGTCCTTCAAAGGAATAGTGTGATGCTAGCTTTAGCTTCATATTTCTCATTCTATTATTGAGAGCTTTTTGTGACTGTGCCATCCTAGAATATAAGGTCAACTGCCAGTTTGTTCAAATCTTTTCATAGAGGATTACATTAGATCTCAGGTAATAGCTTACCTCTATTTCCCATTAAATACATTTTAGCAGATAAGGCTTGGAAATTTTTTACATATTCCGCTTTCCAACACAAACCTTAGTTTGTTGATTCCTGTTACCAAGATTTTCTGATAAACAAATTACATTGTTAAATAGAAGGGCTATTTCTGAGATGCCAAAATGGGATTTGATAAAATTTCATCCAATTACAATAAAACAGACTAAACTAAAAGTAAAATGAGTTTCTTTAATTTGATCAGAGGTATATTCCAGAAACCTAAAGGAATGTCACACTCAATTCTAAGAGAGATCCATTAAATTCAGGAATAAGAGAGGCCACCTTTTATAGCTGCTATCATTATATATTTTACTAAGAGCTTTAAGGCCAAGTTCTCAAACTCACATGCTTACAGAGTTCAAGGAGATTTTAAAAATTGAATAGAGCCAAAACTACGCAAAGACATTTAAGAAAAATTTTAAGACATTTGTTCCCTGTAGAAAGGGAGTAAATCTTGTCCGTTTTAAGAGTCTGTGAAGACTCATCTCTGGTGTGTTGTTGCCTTATGAGGAGCATATATCCAAATCTGTCCCATACTCAGATTTTCAAGAGAAATCAGGCATTCATATTTTATGTAAGTCTTAATGACTTCAATATAATGATAACTGATTATGTTTATAAAACTTTATGTTCAACGATTATTGGATTAAACAAATTTACAAATTTTCAGGTAAATTCAGTCCAACAGCCTGTCACTTTGGACATTCTGTGTCAACTAATGAGATAAGAGTAGAAGGAAATAAAACAACCAGAACCAAACATCAAACAACACAACTCATTACTGGCTGGTGTGTTCATCTAGTTCACCAAACCAAAACAACCAGCTGACAGATTATAGTGTTTATTAAAAGAGTTTAGTCAAAAATCAGCATAATCAAAAATCCACATACTTCCAAATGTAAGAATAAAACAATTATAAAAAGAAATAAATCTCCTTCACAAAAACAATAAGACTAAGAGACATAACAAAAACATGAACAATCTTCATGAAAAACACCAAACATTTTCACAAAAGATGTGCAACTGAATCAAGTAGGTTATACAATTCATAATGAGAAGAACTCCCATTTTAAAGTTGTTAATTTTTCCCAAGTAATTGACACATAGAGTGAATTCCTAATCAAAATCTCTGGAGGAGATTTTTATGGAAACCGAAAATGATTCTAAACTCCACATTGTTAAGTATATAGTTGACAATTGTCAAAGGTTTTTTGTGTGTGGGGGTGAGGGGAACAGGGGAGAAGAAAAAACAGCAAATATATCATAAACCTTTAGCAATATTTTTAAATAGTGTATTCCCATAGAATAAACAAATATGTTAATAGAACACAGTATCAAGCAAAGATATTCAATTGTATATATTTGGTAATTTAACATATGATGAGTTTGAAAGTGTTAGTTACATGCAAATAAATTATATTAAGATAAATGACTATCAATTTGGAAAAAATAATTAGAACCTGTCTAACAAAGTGAATAAAAAAAAATTCCAAAAGAATTTTATGTGTATGGGAGACATTAAAAACAAAGAGGAAAAGGATGCAGAATAAGCTAAAAATACATTTTAAATCTGGTTAAACTAGGAATGGGGACATGGCAGATAAGATGTAAGGAAAAGTGATATTTAAAGTGAATTAAATACTTCCTTGTAATATTATCCTATTTTTTTAAGCAAGGAAATGCACTTGTTTCCATTTTCCATAACTAATAATTATTTTAAAAAATAAAAACAAAACTGATTCATTTAAAGAAAATGTAGTGTCTTAAATTTCTGGACGTAATGCAGTCACTGGAGTTCCCTATTGCTGTAAGTAACTAAAAGCTGCACAAAATACATGAAACATTGTTTTCAATATTGAATGACTGTCAATGTAGTACTTGGAGCCCTTAGAGAAAGGAAAGAGATCAGGTGAGCACTAGGACAGCCACAGCTGCACAAGAAGACTCCACCTGAATGTAGAAATGAGGGGACCTGGATGTGGCTCCCCTCACCACTGAAATCATGAAAGGGTTTTATAAGAACTCTGTTGGATCTCTTATGGGGTTATTTTACCTATTTCTTTTTATTTTCCCCTGACTAGTCAAAGATTGATTTTCAGACTTCTTTTCCTTTCTCCTTTTCCAGTGCTTAGAGTGATTCCTTTTCCCCTTTTCTCATGACTACCTCCTAGTGTCAATCTCCACCCAATTTACTTTAAAATAGTCCCCATTCACAGATAAGGTTTACTTAGACAAATTTTGGTCCATAAAAATGTATCCTTTACGTGAGTGTAAACAAGTGCTTCTCAAACATTCTCATTTATTCTCTGACAAACGTCCTCCTGGGGACTTAAATATGTATTTCACCACCACTTCTTACCTAAGAATTCTGGGAATCTTTGTTGGGACATGATAACACTGTGTCTTCCATTGGCAGAAATTTTTCACATATTAATGAAGTTCATTGTATTCTTTTCTCATTAGCCTCTATCACCTAAACTAAAACTTCATGGTGCCAATTTGATGGGAACTATAAACCCAGGAACTGAAAGAGCATCATATGACAGTGCTTGATTATGAGATTACAATGTGGTCCTGGTAGTGGTAGGTAAGTATTACACATATCAAGTGGGTTA